GAGATGGGGCCCCTTGAGCTACACCACGAAGCTCCTGAAGGGTCTGGAGATCCCGAGCCTCCCTATCATGTAGGCCAAGCCCAAGGGACTGTGGATATGGCTGAGGTCAGGTGCTTCTTGGGAGGGTCACCACGAGCCTCTGGCTCACACTGCCAGAAGCCGGGGAGGAGACTGAGGGAGGGTCTGCTCAGTAGGGCAGGGTCAGAAGGACTGTTCGTGTTCTTGCCCATTGCAGACCACAGCCAGTCACAGGATCAGCCGCTCCCCTGGAGCAGAGCCCTGGAAACCAGTGGTTAAAGGGCCGGGTGCATGCCTGGCTGCTCAGTCACTCAGCCGTGTCCGACTCTTTACGACCCTGTGACTGTAGCCCGCCAGGCTCCTCCGTCCACAGGATTCTCCAGGCAAGAATACTGGACTGGGTTGCCGTGCCCTCCTCTGGGGGATCTTCCCACCCCAGGGATGGAACTCGTGTCTCCTGTATTGCAGGGGCGTTCTCTACTGACTGAGCCACCAGGAAAGCCCAGAAAGCTGAGAGCCGTGGTTAAATCTCTTACATTTACTTTCAGCAGAGTCCGCGCTTGCTCTTCATTATCCAGTCTGCAGAGATCCTCTCAGAAGAAGTTGTACCAGGAAGAAAATTTAAAAAAAAACAAAAACTTTTTGCATGTATTCTCATCGCAAAGGGTTCATACTGCCAAGTCATGGCTTTCTTTCATTCATCCCACAAGTACTTAACTGAGCACAGCACCTCTGCCAGGTGATTCCCTGTTGTTGCTCAGTCGCTCAGTTGTGTCCGACTCTTTGCGACCCCAAGGACTGCAGCTCGCCAGGCTTCGTTGTCCTTCACCATCTCCCAGAGTTTGCTCAAACTCATGTCCATTGAGTCAGTGATGCCATCCAACTGTCTCATCCTCTGTTGTCCCCTTCTCCTCCCACCTTCAGTCTTTCCCAGCCTCGGGGTCTTTTCCAGTGAGTCAGCTCTTCATATCAGGTGGCCAAACTATTGAAACTTTAGCTTCAGCATCACTCCTTCCAATGAATATTCAGGACTGATTTTCTTTAGGATGGACTGGTTGGATCTTGCAGTCCAAGGGACTCTCAAGAGTCTTCTCCAACACCACAGTTCAAAAGCATCAATTCTTCAGTCCAACTCTCACATCCATACATGACTACTAAAAANCCTCAGTCTCTCCCATCAGGAAGCTTCCATAAGCCTCTTATCCTTCTCTATCAGAGGGCACAAAGACTGAAAACCACAATCACAGAAAACTAACCAATTTGATCCCATGGACCACAGACTTGTCTAACTCAATGAAACTATGAGCCATGCCATGTAGGGCCACCCAAGACAGATGGGTCATGGTAGAAATTTCTGACAAAATGCGGTTCACTGGAGAAGGGAATGGCAAACCACTTCAGTATTCTTGCTTTGAGAACCCCATGAACAGTATGAAAAGGCAAAATGATAGGACACTGAAAGAGGAACTCCCCACGTCAGTAGGTGCCCAGTATGCTACTGGAGATCAGTGGAGAAATAACTCCAGAAAGAATGAAGGGATTGGAGCCAAAGCAAAAACAACACCCAGTTGTGGATGTGACTGGTGATAGAAGCAAGGTCTGATGCTGTAAAGAGCAATATTGCATAGGAACCTGGAATGTTAGGTCCATGAATCAACACAAATTGGAAGTGATCAAATAGGAGATGGCAAGAGTAAACATCGACATTTTAGGAATCAGCAAACTAAGATGGACTGGAATGGGTGAATTTAACTCAGATGACCATTATCTCTACTACTGTGGGCAGGAATCCATTAGAAGAAATGGAGTAGCCATCATAGTCAACAAAAGAGTCCAAAATGCAGGACTTGGATGCAATCTCAAAAAGAACAGAATGATCTCTGTTCATTTCCAAGGCAAACCATTCAATATCATGGTAATCCAAGCCTATGCCCCAACCAGTAATGCTGAAGAAGCTGAAGTTGAACAGTTCTATGAAGACCTACAAGACCTTCTAGAACTAACACCCAAAAAAGATGTCCTTTTCACTATAGGGGACTGGAATGCAAAAGTAGGAAGTCAAGAAATACATTGAGTAACAGGCAAATTTGGCCTTGGAGTACAGAATGAAGCAGGGCAAAGACTAATAGAGTTTTGCCAAGAGAATGCACTGGTCATAGCAAACACCCTCTTCCACCAACACAAGAGAAGACTCTACACATGGACAACACGAAAATCAGACTGATTATATTCTTTGCAGCCAAAGATGGAGAAGCTCTTTAAAAGTCAGCGAAAACAAGACTGGAAGCCGACTGTGGCTTCAGAGATACATAAATATGTCTCCAGCTTGCTGCCCACCCTGGCTGGATTTGACTGTGTTCTGAACTGTTTTATGAGTTTCAGCTGCTAGTCTCAGTTCAGCAAAAGGCAGCTACCTCTTTGCGGTCGTCACAGCTGTCAGATGGGAGTCTCGGCATCTTGGCGGTCGCCCTAGGCAACCCGGTGGGGAATGCCGCAATCCTCCTGCTGGCCACAAGGGGTCCCAGCCCGCCAGGTGATGGTCCCCGGGGCAGCAGAGCTCCTGAGATGAAGATTCAGCGGGTAGGTGCCCTGAGCGGCGGGCGCCCGGAGAGCACAGAGCTCCGCCGCTGGTCCTTGGCCCACAGCGGTTGGCACCGTGGGGGCGATGATAACCCCCCGCGATCGCTGCGCTCTGGGTTGCTGCTGCTGGAGGGGTGCCCAGGGCCTGGCAGCTCCCCGCGCTGGGTTCTAGGCTCAGCTGTGTTCTCACTGCCTGTGTGACCTTCGGCACGCCCCATCCCCTCTGAGACCCCGTGTTTCCTCATCAGCCAAGAGCAGGGTTCAGAATAAAATCTGCAGCCTCGCTGGAAACCCAAGCCCCTGAAATAGCCCTTACGTGGAAGAGTATCTGAGTCATCCTCACCGTTCAACCCAAACCGCCAACTTCCTGAAGTTTCATCTTCCTGCCAGATTATCCTCTCCCTGGAAGCCAGGGAGTGACGTCAGGATTCTGTGCCGGGGAATCTTATCTGTCAGAGCCAGAGGAGCACAGGTGTTCTCAGACTCCCATTAGCCTGGAACCCGTTGCTCAAACTCTGACGCGCAGCTCAAATGGAAGACACGCGCTCTGTTAGAAACCAGCGCCCAGGAAGGGGAAGCACCTGCCCTGTGTCTCTCATAGGAGACGGGCGGGGCTGGCTGAGTTGTCCCTCTAGGGCCCACTCCCCAAGAGTAACACGGAGCAGGTAACTCCCCAAGTGTAGGGGCGCTCAGGACTCTTAAGAAGGAGCTACGTGCTGGGAGGTGAGGGCACAAGGCAGGCAGGGGGCCCGCCAGCTTCGGCTGTGCATTCTCTGCCCCGGGTTTTTCCCACCATGACTTCATCCCCATAAAGACCCTCAGTTCAGTTCAGTCGCTCAGTCGTGTCCGACTCTTTGTGACCCCATGGCCTGCAGCATGCCAGTCCTCCCTGTCCATCACCAGCTCCCAGAGTTTACTCAAACTCATGTCCATTGAGTCAGTGATACCATCCAAATATCTCATCCTCTGTCGTCCCCTTCTCCTCCCGCCTTCAATCTTTCCCAGCATCGGAGTCTTTTCCAGTGAGTCAGTTCTTTGCATCAGGTGGCCAAAGTATTGGAGCTTCAGCTTCAGCATCAGTCCTTCCCGTGAATATTCAGGACTGACCTCCTTTAGGATGGGCTGTTCTGATCTCCTTGCAGTCCAGAGACCCTCAGGGCAGTACCACAGCCACTGCAGGCTCAGAGAAGCCACTAGCAGGCTTAGAGCCGCTAAGGCTTTTTAAGTGACCTAGCTCAGAAGTCACTAACTGGGATCTGAACCCAGAGCTTCGCAGCTACAAAGTGCAGATACTGGCTGTCCCGGGGGCTGGCCGTGTGTTCACTCACTCTTTCATTCATACCCTCTGAACCCCAAGGATAGACCAGGCACTGTGCTGTGACCAAGGCAAGCCAGAGCCCCGCCCTCCCTGAACCCAGAGGTTAGAGGAGGAAGCATATGAACAAGTGAGATGAGGCCAGAAGAAACCTACAGCTGTCTCAGGGGGTGGAGAGTGGCGCTTCTCAAAGTGCGGTTCACACACCCCTATGTGAGCTGTGGGTTTCCAGTCTGCAGGGAGATCAGAGAGACACTGCTTCTCTGATCTATACTTAGAGGACGGACAGCCACGCGCCAGCCCTCATCCACGGGCTGCGCTGCGAGGAGCCCTTGCCTGAGATACCCTGGACCGCTAGGTCAGTGCCGATGCGTCCACTCCACGTCCCGGGACCCTTTGCCCCCTTCTCCTCTGCACTCCCACCTTACCCCCAGTCCGTACAGACCCCCAGGGACCTGTTGCAGAGGGAGGCTGTGGTATCTCCTGCCTGGCACATGCAACGAGCCACGGACCACGAGTCCCTTCTAAAGGGAAACACTCCATCTGAGTCCACGGTCAGTCATGAGCTTCACGGATGGTGGAAATAGATGTGGGTCCCCACTTGGACTGTGCTACTCACTGGCTATGTGATGCTGAAAATGTCTTTGGTTTTCCTTAACTCTGAAACGGGGATGATGCATGCTTTATTATTCATTCATTACTTTTTGGCTGCGCTGGGTCCTGGTTGTGGCAGTCTTCCCTCGCTGTGGGGCACAGGCTCGGGAGTTTCGGTGTGTGGGCTTTGTAGGAATAGATCAGGCACCAGCGGGCTTGACCCAGGGCCTGAAACTCAGTGAACAGAAGCCGCAGTATGTGTGTGCGTTTGCATGTTTGTATGCATGAATGTGTTTGCGCTTGCAAGGACAGGGAAGCCTGGCATGCTGCAGCCCATGGGATCGCAAATTGTCGGACACAGCTGAACAGTAGTGAGTGCATATGTGCATGCATGTGGGTGTGATATCCATTTCTTCCACTGTTGTTGGACAGTCCCTCGCAGGACCCACTGTGGCCAGGGGCGCTGACGACCTTTTCTGGGGTCTCTCTCCAGATTGCCAAGGGATCGTTGAGGACGTCGTCCTGCTGGGTGCACCTGTGGATGGAGAAGCCAAGCAGTGGGAGCCTTTCCGGAAGGTGGTTTCTGGAAGGATCGTCAACGGCTACTGCAGGTCTGTCCAGACCTCGTGCTCCCGGGGAGGTGACAAGCCTTACTGAGCACCTAGTGTCCCCAGGTGTCTGGGGGCAGTTTATAGGATGACTCGGGAGGCCAGGCTGGTCACTGTGATCTGGGGCAAGAGGGACGTGGGTGAGTGGGCTGAGGCTGAGAAGCACAGAGTGAGGCCCAAGCGGGAGGTCTTTAATGCTGGCTGAGGAGCCATTGTGGGCTCTATTTGTTATTTTTTGGCGGCGCTGGGTCTTTGTTGCGGCATGCAGTCTTCTCTTGTCATGGTACACGAGCTCAGTAGTTGCAGAACGCAGGCTTAGTTGCCCCGTGGCATGTGGGATCTTCGCTCTGACCAGGGATCGAACCCATGACCCCTGCATCAAAAAGCGGATTCTTAACCCACTAGACCACCAGGGAAGTCCCTCGTGTACATTATTTGGTAGGAAGGGAGTGGGGATTGTCCAGGCTTTCAGAGCAATGTCTCGGGGCGGGGATGGCAGCCTTGGGGGACCCAGCACCCACAGCATACGGCAGATCCTTCTGCAAGAGCTGAGGGCTACAAAGGCTGATGGCTGTGGGGCTGAAAAGGAGGCATCCTGGCCAGGGATTTGAGAAGGACTTGAGGGGCTTCAGCCAAGGTGGTGCCCTAGACACTGGGAAGGAAGGGAAGATCCTACCCCAAAAACCTAAGGGATTCGTATTATCGATTCCATTTTACAAGTGAGAAAACTGAGGCTCAGAGAAGTTAAGTCACAAGGCCAGTTAACTTTAGTTTTGATCTAAGCCCAACCATCCCAAGTGGAACCTGCAACTGAATAGAATAGATTTGGAAACTCTTTATCAGTTTGATAACTTAGCCCATGTCCACAGCTAAAGATAAAGATGATCTTTAGCCATGGATAGAGGGCATTAATCAGGACCCCAGAGTTCAACCAATTAGTATGGCTTTATCGTTCATATTCTTTCTTCTTTTCAAACTTTAAACTTTTTATTTTGTATTGGGGTATAGCCGACAAACAGTGTTTTAGTAGTTTCAGGTAAATGACAAAGGGACTCAGCCATACATACACATGTATCCATTCTCCCCCAAGCCCTGTCACTCCTATTCTAAGCTGAGTTCTTAGGATCAGAATATGGTAGAAAGAACAAAGAAACAAAGATAAAGGGCCATAATATATAAAGAGCTCAATCAAATCAATAAAAAAAACTAATAAGAAAATGGTCAGAGACGTCTCTGGCCATCCAGCGGTAAGACTCCACACTCCCAGTGCAGGGGGCATGGATTCAGTCCCTGACTGGGATACTTAAGATCCCACATGCCACATGGTGTGGCCAAAAAAGAAAAAAGAGAAAATGGCTAAAAGATATCTACACACAAACATGGAATAAATGCAGTCAATAAACTTTTGAAAAGATATCCAACCTCATTATTAATGAAATAGATGCAAACTAAAGTAAGTAAAGTACTATTTATCATCTATCACATCATCAAACATCTGAAACATGAATAACAATCAGTGTCGGTGAAGATGTGGTGAAATGGGCACTGTTATATGCTGTTGGTGGTAGCTGAATTTAGCAAATCCTTTTTAGGGGTAATTGGCAATATCTATCCAAATTTTTAATATGCCAGTCTTCTGATCCCAGAGATTCTGGCTTCTGTGATCCTGCATAAATAGATACTCACATGCACAGAAGTGGATGCACAAAGGGGATCCTTGCAGCTTCATTTATAATTAAAAATTGAAAGCGACCCAGTGACCTAAATGACCACAAAGAGGGGAATAATTTTTTTTTTAAAAAGCGAGTGCAACAATACATTCTATTGACCCACTTTCAAAAGAAGAAGTTTCTGTGTGTGCATATGTGTATCTGTATGTCTAGAAATGAACAGGGCGGTCCTGAGGGACCAAGAGACGCGAGTGACAGTGGCTGCCCCTGAAGAATGCACAGGGATTGGAAGGAGGGCTCAAAAAAGAGGTTTGCTTCCCTTGACACGTAGTTGACTTGCAGTCTTGCATTAGTTTCGGGTATATAGCAAAGTGATTTAGTTCCATATGTGTATATATGTATATCTTTCTTAACAAAAGAGGCTTGTACATATATTTATAAGAGAGGCTTTTCAGTAAGGACAGTTTAAGAAATAAGAAAAGAAAAAGAATGGACACAATATTGACGTCAGACAGTCCCTGGTTAAAATCTTGGCTCCGTCCTTCACCTCTCAGATGGCTCTGGACAAACAAGCCTGAAGCTTAGTATTCCTACCTGTACAATGGGAATAAGAGGCCGTCCTGCACAGGAGTTCTGGGAAGATTAAATGAGATTATATAGGATGAGGACTGGCAGTTTGTAGGTGCCCAGTAAGCAACATGGGCATATTCACAGCACATGATTTTTTTTTTTTTTGGTGTGTTTCATAACCAGCAAAGGGAAAGAATTAAAGTTGCATGTGTGCAATATGAAAGCAGCAAAATCTTATTAAACCCATCTGTTCTGTTGAGAACCTGAGGCTAATAAGCTTGGGTTTCCATTATTTTGTGAGATCCTGAGCCATCTCTCCAGAGAGAAAAAAGGAGGAGGAAGAGGAAGAAGGAGAGAAGAGGGGAGGAATGTCCGGACCAAAACAATAACTGTAGTGTCTTGATTAAATTCAGCTCCAGCCAGGCATTCACATTCTTGGCCCCCAAGGACTCTCTAGTTGTGGTGAACTTAATTAAGATGGAGAGTGAGTGAGGGGGTGAGGGGAGCTTCAGGCCAAAGCTCCCAAACTGTATACATTTATAAATTTATAATGTACATTAATGAAACTTGGTAGTTCTTCGCCTGCTTTCACACACTCCCTGGAAGCCAGCTGGGCTGAGTGGTGCTGCTCCCTGTTACACTGCAAGGAACCTGAAGCTCAGGGAGGGTCAAATGCCAAGGCCACACAGCAGAGCCAGGATGTGAACTCAGGTGAACCTGTCTTCCTGACCCCCGGGGCATCTGCAGTGAGAGGGTTTCATTCTGAGCTCCAGGGGGCTCCCCGCGTGGTCTCTGCTCCAGCGCCATGTGGGGAGGGGCTGATGTTAGGAGGAGCAGGTGGCGGGAGGGGTCACCCCTGCCCACGGGTGGCTCCAGGCCTGTGAGGACCCAGGGCACAGCCTTCCGCAGGTCCCGGGGTGCCAGTCAGGGACCAGCTGTGTGATCTGTGCGTCCGCCTGGCCTGGAGCCCTGAGGCCACTAAGGCCTGGCTTGCTGGGCTCCCCACCCACCAGGGAGTTCACGACTCCACTCGGGAGGCAGGGTGCAGGTCCAGGGCCTGGTCCCGCCCTCAACGAGCTCTCTGCCCAGGAAAGGAGAAGGCTGAAGGACGGGCCCACAGAGCATGTGACAAACACCGCGAGGGGACCGCATGGCAGGCCCGGAGGGACGGCGGCCATTGATGTCCGGGGCGGGGCTCGGGGAGGGGGCGCGTGCAGGCTCGGTGGTGAAGGGGTGGATAGGAGCCGGTCAGAGCCGGAAGGAGTAGGCCCAGCAAGAGAGGCCAGGGTGCCCGCAAGGGCCCAGAGCGAGGGGTGTCATCGCACCCATCGTGTGTGAGTGCTGGGCGCACAGTGCGTGCTTTCTGGGCGCACTCGTGCCCTCCCCGCGAGGTAACTCACAGTGACGAGACGAGGCTCAGAGGGGTCAAGCAGCTTGCCCGAGGTCACACAGCTGGTGGCTGAGAGGGCAGGACTAGCTCTGTGCAGTCCCAGGCGGGGGCTGGTGGCCCACCCCCCACGAGAGAGGCAGACGCCGAGTGCAGAAGGTCTGGCAGGCCTCTGCAAACACCGCAGCAGAAAAACAAAAGTGCTGGGTTCATTCAGCACAGTTTCGAGGCCGTGGAACCTTCTAACACCTGACCTCGCCCTGTCTGTCGTCGTTGTTTCGTCGCTAAGTCAGGTCCAACTCTTGCGACCCCGTGGACTGTAGCCCGCCAGGCTCCTCTGTCCTTGGAAGTTCATCCGTACATGTGTATAAACAAGCGCAATTACCATCGTTAAGTAGAGCGTGTCCATATTTAAGAGGGACCGTGGGCCGGAGCAATGCTGACCTTGCCCTTTATGACCTTCCTTCTGTTTTATCTCTTTGGTTGCCCTGGGTCTCTCTTGCCAGGTGCAGGCTTTCTCCAGTTGGGGTGAGTGGGGACCACCCTCTAGTTGCAAGGCACAGGCTTCTCATTGTGGTGGCCTCTCTTGTCGGGGAGCACGGGCTCCAGGCGCCCGGACTCAGTACTGTGGTGCTCGGGGTCAGTACTGTGGTGCTCGGGGTCAGTACTGTGGTGCTCAGGCTCAGTACTGTGGTGCTCAGGCTCAGTACTGTGGTGCTTGGGCTGAGTACTGTGGTGCTAGGGCTCAGTACTGTGGTGCTAGGGCTCAGTACTGTGGTGCTTGGGCTCAGTTGCTCCACAGCATGTGGGGTCTCCCCGGACCAGGGGTCTAACCCGTGTCCCCTGCACTGGCAGGTGGTTCTCACCCACTGTTCCCCAGACAAATCTCTCATTTATGACTTTCCACATCAGAACCATTTCAGGGACCTCCCCACACCCTGTGTTTGATGCACATGTCTCATGGTTAGTTGATAGAACAACTAGGATCAGTCTCCCTCCTCCCCTTAGCCATCATTCTGAGGGACACTCTCTTGGGCCTTCAGTATGAGGCTAACCATTGGGATGTGCAAGCATTGCTCTCTGGGGGGAGTTAAGGAGCTTTCTAGAAAAGAAAGCTGGTGGGCAGTGGGAGTCAAGGTCAGCTTCTGAGAGGACAGGGCCATGGTCAGGTGAGAGTTTAAGGGTGGGGAGGGGCTGCCTGATTTCAGAGCTGGAGCAGAAGGTCCTGGGGCAGCAGACGGGGGGATTCAGTGATGGGTGGCCATGGCGGGGAAGGGGCACCTGGGACCTGGGACCTGCTGGCTTCTGCTTGAGGAACCTGGCAGGTGATTCAGACGATGGAGTTGCAGGGTGGCGGGGACACAGCAGGAGGGTCTGTTGCCTGCATACGAGTGTGCTAAGTCACTCAGTCGTGTCCAACTCTTTGTGACCCCATGGACTGTAGCCCACCAGGCCCCTCTGTCCTTGGGATTCTCCAGGCACTAATACTGGGGTGGGTGGCCATGCCTTCCTCCAGGGGATCTTCCTGACCCAGGGATCGATCCCACGTCTCTTTATGTCTCCTGCATTGGGATGTGGGTTCTTTACCACTTGCACCACCTAGGAAGCCCAAGGGTCTGTTGAGAGCCCCTCAACTCTGGACCCAGTCCTTCCAGGGGTGTCCGGGGTGGTAACCACACAGGCACCCATGTGGTCAGAGACCCCGAAGGGTCAAAACTACCAAGGAGCCTAGAGAGCCTGCCACACTGTGGGTCCCGACAGCTCTGGGGCCTCTCCTGTGGTCAGACAGGCAGGGCAGGGAGCCCTGACTCTCAGCTGACCCCCCCCCCCAACAAGGCAGGGAGGGAGAGCCCTGCTTTCAAACAAGCGCACAAAAATAATGGACTCGGGGAACCCTGCAAACCAGGGTCAGACTCGGTCTGAACAAAAGACAGCCTGATGTGCTAAGTAGAGTTCCAGTCCTGGAGGCCAAGGGGGAACAGAAGTGTCCATGTGCACGGACCTGCTGGGCGACAGGGCCCAGCTTCACCCTGGACAGGGCGCAGGGGCTCGAGGGGGAATGCTGACCCATGGACCCTGTAGACCAGGCCTCTGTGGGTGCATGTGTCTCATGTACCTGAAGAATCGGGCTGCAGGGGCTCCGGGGTCATCCTCTCTCCGGAGTGTAGGGCGGATGACTGGCTAGGAGTGATGGGGTACAGAGCGCGGGGTTCACAGCACCCCGAGAGCAGGGGAGGAGTGTTGCAGGGCTGTGACCCACCTGCCGGGCCTGTCTCAGTCCCTCCCGTTCACAGACAGGTGGAGGGGGGCCCCCACACCCAGAGTCCCAGCCTGCAGAGCATGTGTCCTAGACTCCCGTGGTCCTCTCCCCGAGACAGATGTCCTGCTGCCTCTCTTTGATCTCCCCGGGGGGCCCCGGCTCAGCCACCCCGGGGAACTGGAAGCCCACAGCCAGCCGAGAGCGTCCCTCCCAGCCTCATGCCGATTTCTGGAGATCGGCATGCAGTTCCCGCGTTCATCCACTCAGCAGATAATGTCTGTTGCTCGTCAGCGCTGTTCTCTGCCCCGGGGGAGCCGGCAGGGAACCAAGCGGCTTCCCCGGAGCTGCCAGGCCCGGCGCTGCTCCCAGACATCGGTGCCTGCAGCTGCCCCCGCCATCCCTGGGCGCAGGGAGCCCCAGTTTCCCGCGGAAGCGCGCATCTCGCCGGGGCCCGGCCGGGCCCTCCTGAGGCTGCCGTCCGCCCCTTCTCACCGCGTCCTCTCCCCCGCAGGGCGGACTGGCTGCTGAGCTTCGTCTACCGCACGTCCTCCGTGCGGCTCCGCGTGGCCGGCCTGCAGCCTGTGCTACTGCAGGACAGGAGAGTGGAGAATGTGGACCTGTCCTCGGTGGTGAGTACCCCCTGCCCCCTGGGGCCGGCTTTGGGGGGTGCAGAGGGTGCACATCTTACTCCAGCCCAGCGACCCACGTCCCAGGGACACTGGCCCCGGCGGTCCACCCCAGACGAGAGAGATTGTCAGAACTCACTTGGGCAGAGGTAACTCCTATTCACAGGCACCATCCCTGTGCCAGGGCAATGCCCCCCGGCCCTTGGCACACATCCTCTCTAACCTGCACATGGTCTCAGGGCTAGGCATCATTATCCCCATTTCACAGATTAGGAAACTGAGGCTTAGGAAAGTTCCCATCATACAACGCACAACTGATAACCTGGATTTGAACCTGCCAAGCCCATGTTCTTGCCCCTACATCACTGCCCTCTTTCCACTCCTCCCCCAACTCCTCCTCCCACGGCCCTCACTCACTCCCCGAGCCCAGATTACTAGTCAGGACAGTCTGTTTCTCCGGAAAGTAACCGGGACAAGCAGAGGGCACAGGCGGAAGCATTCAGGCTGGACCAGAAGAGAAGCGCCTGACTGCCAGGCTGTGAAACCGTGGAGTGGGCTTTCCAGGTGCCACTAGTGGTAAAGAACCCGACTGCCCATGCAAGAGAAGTAAGAGATGTGGGTTGGATCCCCGGGTCGGGACCCTCTGGAGGAGGGAGTGGCAAACGCCTCTAGTATTCTTGTCTGGAGAATCCCATGGACAGAGGAGCCTGGCAGGCTGCAGTCCGTAGCGTTGCACAGAGTCAGACACGACTGAAGTGACTTAGCATGCATGCACAAAACCTTGGCATAGGGAGCAAGGAAGGTGTTTAATTTGTGACAGTATTGCTTCTGTTTGATGTTTTTGGATTTTTGGCTGCAAGGGATGTGGGATCTTGGCTCTCCCGCCAGATGCTGAGCCCACACCCCCTGCATTGGAAGGCAAAGTGTGTCCCAAGGCCCCTGACCTCAGACTCATCTGGAGAGTTTACTTAAAATGCGGACCCAGAGCCCCGCGGCCCAGACCTCCTCCATCAACCTCTAGGCGTGGAGCCTGCACGTCTGCACATTAAACATACTCCCCACGGATTCTTCCGCATCTCAGACTAAGCAGGGCAGACGGCCCAAAGCATTCTTGCCGGGAAATGTTGGGGGGGACCCACCCCAGCAGCCACACAAACCTAATTTGGGTTTCTAGATCCATTTTTCAGGCTTGAGGGAACCTTGTCCCCCCACTACCTCGAGTTAATAGTAGCTTCATGTACCGATGCGATGCCCAGCTCTGCCCTGAGCCTTTTGCGGCGTCCATACGCCCACTGGACAGATGGGCTCACTGAGGCTTTGAGAGGCCGAGGCTGTGCCCGGGGTCACACGCAGGAGCACGGCGGAGCAGGACTCGAGCCCAATCTGAAGCCAGTGGGCATCGCCCTGGTTGGGTAGATGTGGGAACCAGTGGGAGAGGCGCCGGCTCCCAGGAAGGGGAGGGTCGTGGGCTGCAGTTACATCCTCGAGCAAACTCCGCCAGGGGAAGTCCCAGGAGAACAGGAGCTTCAGTTTCCAGTTACTGCACTGCCAGCTGCCATTTATCAACTGCCAAGCATTTCCCAAGCATAAACCAGTTGCCCCAGGTACCGCATACGCGTGGTTTGAGCCAGCCACATCACCCTGTCTGAAAGCAGGCAGACCAGGCCCCTCCATGGGCATCTGAAAACTCCCCTGGGGAGGGGTACCCTGGACGACCTTGGTTCCTCCCTCCAGCTTCAACAGCAGCCTGGCCCAACAGCCCCCAACACACACACACACACAGACACTCACATACACACACACACACAACCTCGTGGTGGGGGAAGCCAGGCACCCTGACCCCCACCAGCACAGCTCACGCCAGGTTGCATGAGGTTTGGGGCTTTTTTTAATTTGCTTTTTCAAGATTTTTTTTAATGTGGACAATTTTTAAAGTCTTTGTTAAATCTGTTACAGTGTTACTTCTGTCTTATGCTTTTGGTTTTTTGGCTGCAAGGCATGTGGGATCTTGGCTCCCCGACCAGGGGTCGAACCCACAGCCACTGCACTGGAAGGCGACGTCTTAACCACTGGACACACCAGGGAAGTCCCTGGTTGCATGTTTGTTAAAGCGGAACTGAGGACTGAAGGGGGGTTCTGGCACAAAAACAAAACTAGAACGTTATCAGGCACTACCAGCCCCGAAGCTCACGGGCCATGACCTTGCCCTGAGGACCCCTGGGTCTCTCACCCAGCCTGCCACCATCTCGCAGGGGCCAACTTGGCCTGGCTCATATCTTCACTCCCCCAGACTCCCAGGGCCCTGGCTCACAAGTGCTGACCCACCAGAGGAAGGCAAGTGAATCAGCCCCGTGTCTTCCTAACTGGCAGCTTTGGACGCGGATGTCGATCCCAGAATAAGAAGAGTTTTTAGACTCATCCACCCATGACACTGATCATTCCTAGTTCAGGAGGCAGTCGTCCCAGGGCAGACAGGAGCGTCAACCCCTAGAGTAGTCTCTTTAGATCATCTTTCCCCCTGAGAGACTTGCTTCATGTGATATCAACCTCACAGCAGCCCCATTGAGTAGGATGTGGGCATCCCCAAGTCACAGACCGGAAAACTGAGGCTTGAGACAGTGGGTTTCTTGGTGGCTCAGACCGTAAAGAATCTGCCAGCAATGCAGGAGACCCAGGTTCGATCCCTGGGATGGAAATACTCCCTGCAGTCAGGAATGACAACTCACTCCAGTATTCTTGCCTGGAGAATTCCATGGACACAGGAGCCTGGCAGGCTATGCTGAGTCAGACGTGACTGAGCGAGGCTTGAGATGAGAGACTCACAGAACCGGAGAGTCGTAGATCCGGTCTCTGAAACCGGGTCTGGAGTCTGTGCAGTCTGCCTTCCTGGGGGAGTGAGGAGAGCTTGGCCAACCAGACCAGCAGACCGCCAGACTCTGATACCCCCTGGCCCGCGTCCAGTGGTCTCTGTCCTGTTTGACGGGATGCCCCACCACACCAGGGGTCTCCCTCTGCCACAGGAACCAAATGTGAAAAAGCATGGCTGAAATTTCCTTTTCAATGAAAATTTCCTTGAAATGCTACAGAGCATTGAAAGAATGCTTGAAAGAGGCCAATTCTGCCCTGGGAAGCACCCGAATGGGGTTTAGTGGGAAGAGCACCGCCGTTGATGCCAGAGAGGCCTGCCTGGCTCTGAATTCGGCCTCTGCTGCTGCTGTGCTGGCTGTGTGACCTTAGGCCAGTGGCTTAACCTCTCTGTGCCTCAGGTACCACATCCTGGAGACAAGGGCTACCCCCTGCCTTCCAGGGCGCGTGCGTGATGCTTGGTGAGCAGGAGGCCCAGGTTTAACGCTAGTTCTTGCCTCCCCTGCCCCCGTCTCCACCTTCACTTCTGCCCCCGAGACCAGCAGCTGCAGAGATTCCTCGCCAGGCTCAGATGCCTTCATGGCAGCCTCCCAGCTCCTGCCTAATAATAGCTCTTTATCGCATTAGGACGCATCACAGAAAGCAGTGCTTTCCTCCTCTGGGTAATTAGAAGTAATTAGCTTGCCTTGGTGCCGCCCTCCTATTTTCCTTGAAGATTCTTCCTGGAGGAGAGGTTGCTGGCAGCAGAGTCCTCATGGCTGACGTTGGCAAGCAGTGCCGGCCCCGTGCTCAGGGCTGAGACCTAAGGACCCGCCTTCTCCCGGCCGGGCCCACGTGGGCACAGCCCTCTGCGTTAGCCCAGCGGCAGTCACGTGACACAGACCTGGTATGCAGAGGCTCCTGACCTCAGGACAAGCCTGAGCAGAGGTGAGCCGGAGTCCGGCTCTAGGAAATGAAGCAGGCAGAGGCCAGGCCTCCTGATGCTCCTGCAGCCTCTCCTGTGTGGGGACTGCTTTGCAGCAAGTGGCGGGGGGGGGGGGGGTTTCTGCCTCCCCAGGGACCACCTCATGAGGCTTCTTAGGGGGCAGAGACCCAGTCAAGGGTTTCTGGAATCTTGGGTGTCCCAGAAGAAATGCCAGCTGACTTCTAGGACTTAGCACAGGGCTTGGCACAAAATGGTGGTGGTTTAGTCGCTCAGTCGTATCCAAATATCCAACTCTTTGTGACCCCATGGACTGTAGCCCGCCAGGCTCTTGTGTCTGTGGGATTGCCCAGGCAAGAATACTGGAGTGGGTTGCCATTTCCTTCTCCAGCAGATCTTCCCAACCCAGGGATCAAAGCCGGGTCTCCTGCTTTGCAGGCAGATTCTTTACCAACCAAGCCACCAGGGCCCGAGATAGACGCTCGGCAATAGTGACAGCGGCCCACCCGCCAGACGCTGCTCTGCCTGGGTTGCAGACCGTGTGTCACTGATCCCCGTAGCTGTCCAGTGAAGTAGGACTGATAACCACATTGTTCAGGTATCAGTGCAAAGAAGTAAAGGAAAAAAACACAATGAGAAAGACTAGAGATCTCTTCAAAAAAGTAAGAGATACCAAGGGAACATTTCATGCAAAGATGAGCTCAATAAAGGACAGAAATGGTACGGACCTAACAAGCAAAGATATTAAGAAGAGGTGGCAAGAATACACAGAAGGACTGTACAAAAAAGATCTTCCTGACCCAGATAACCACGATGGTATGATCATTCACCTAGAGCCAGATATCCTGGAATGCGAAGTCAACTGGGCCTTAGGAAGCATCACTATGAACAAAGCTAGTGGAGGTGATGGAATTCCAGTTGAGCTATTTCAAATCCTAAAAGATGATGCTGTGAAAGTGCTGCACTCAATATACTAGCAAATTTGGAAAATGCAGCAGTGGCCACAAGATTGGAAAAGGTCAATTTTCATTACAGTCCCAAAGAAGGGCAATGCCAAAAAATGCTCAAACTGCCACACAATTGCACTCATCTCACACGCTAGCAGAGTAATGCTCAAAATTCTCCAAGCCAGGCTTCAACAGTATGTGAACCATGAAATTCCAGTTGTTCAAGCTGGGTTTAGAAAAGCCAGAAGAACCGGAGATCAAATTGCCAACATCTGTTGGATCATAGAAAAAGCAAGAGAGTTCCAGAAAAACATCTACTTCTGTTTATTGATTATGCCAAAGCCTTTGACTGTGTAGATCACAGCAAACNAGAAGACTCTTGAGAGTCCCTTGGACTGCAAGGAGATCCAACCAGTCCATCCTAAAGGAAATCAGTCCTGAATATTCATTGGAAGGACTGATGCTGAATCTGAAAATCCAATACTTTGGCCACCTAATGTGAAGAACTGGCTCCTTGGAAAAGACCCTGATGCTGGGAAAGATTGAGGGCAGGAGGAGAAGGGGACAACAGAGAATGAGGTGGTTGATGGCATCACTGACTCAATGGAGTTGAGTTTTGAGTAAACTCCAGGAGTTAGTGATGGACAGGAAGGCCTGGCTTGCTGCAGTCCATGGGGTCGCAGAGAGTCAGACACAACTGAGCCACTGAACTGAACTGTACAGGTATAGAAACTGAGGCTGCAGGAGGGCATGCTGCGTGTGAGTAGCAGAGCCAGATGAACCCAGAACCTACCTCGAGCTGGGACTCTTAACCACTGCGTTCATGCTGCCTGTGTTCACACATTTCTGTGGCTTCTTGTCAGTGCCCTCCAGCCCTCAGCCAACGAGCCTGTGATGTGGATTATCTCATTGCATCCTCACAACCAGCCCACATGATGTATGTATCTTTATCAGCCCCATTTTACAGAAGAGGAAACTGAGGCCTGAGAGGGAAAGGTGCTGCCAAGGGGTCTGATAGTCTTGGAAATGGTTGGGCAGATGGCAGTAGCTTTGGTTTGGGAAGTCGAGGTGTCTCACAAGGCAGGAAGCAGGAAGCCCTGAGGCCCCCTCACCCCACGTGGATAAGCCTGAGCATCTACAAGGTTCAGGGCTGGATGTGGGGCGTCGGGTCCTGCCCTCCCCCGCACAGTCTATCAGAACACGGACCGAAGCTGGCAGATGAGAATGATGGCATGTTGTGAGTGTTGTCACAGGGGAGCCCCCAAGAGGGTCCCTAACCAGCTTGGGAAAGCCCCCTGGCCTCGCGACCCCAGGCACATGCAGCGTGTCTCCAGGCAGGAGGAACACCTCAGTCAAGGTGGCCAGGGAGGCAGTCTTGGACTGCACCCTTATCTTTTTGCTGCTCTGGGTCTTAGTTACAGCACCTGGGGTCTTCCATCTTGGCTGTGGCATGCCGGATTTTTTATTTGTGGCATGTGGGATCCATTTCTCTGAGCAGGGTTTGAACCCGGGACCCCTGCATTGGGAGTGTGGCGTCTCAGCCACTGGGCCACCAGGGAAGTCCTGAAAACTTTACCCAGTGTCAGCCACAGCAGAATGTTCTGCTGCTCAGAAAAGAGTCTTTTCCCACCCACCTCACTCCTGCTCTCCTTGCCCCCGGCTCTCTGGAAAATTGGAACTTAGCCAGTTCTTTCTCCCTCCCTGTCTTTGCAGAATAGCAGTGCAAGGGCCAGGGTTGGCTGAGGCCTGGACCAACCCGTGGCCAAGAAAGGCCAGAGCTGTGCATTCTGGGGCAGTTGCACAGTGGAATTCCCGTCTGGCATTGGCTGTGGCCACAAATAGCTCCCTTCCTTCCTGTCCTGCCTGCCTCCACCCAGCCCTGGTACCAGCCCTTTGCCAACATTGAACGGGTATAAGGAGGCCATCCTTGTTTATCCCTCTGGGTCTAGGTTTCTGCTGGCTGGAGTTCAGATGTGATGGCTTGAGCTTCAGCAGCCATGTTGGGTTCCCAAATGGATCAGCCTGGCCAACTCCCTACCTCTGTCTCTCCTTCCGAGAAAACTAAAGGAACTAGTGTTTATGACGTACCTACTGTGTACCAGGAGCTGTGCCTTGTGGTTTCAATTGTTTCTTCCCACCACTCCCATGAGATGGGTTTCACTAACTCTAACTGGGTAATGTCCCTTTTTTAAAAGTGTTTTGGGTCATATACGGAGCAGAATAGTTCCTGCAAAGTCTCAGGCTCTTAAACTCTTTGAGCAGATATTCAAGGTGTGAGGTATCATGGACCCTCCTCCATGACCCGATCGAGGAGCTGGTGTTCAGGACGTTGTACAGACTCACCTTGTTACTAGTAAGAGACAGAGCCAAGTCTAGAACCCCGATTCTCTGACTCCAAACTTAGGTGCTTCCTAGCACCACGCAGCCACTAATGTCCACCCTCTAGGAAAGGATGCCTCCCTACCTCGACTTCCACCCTGAACCCAGGGGTCTGAGAAGCCTCTTCTGTGTGTATGCATGTGCGTGTTTTCACTGAACGGTCTTCAAAAGCAGTTGTACAGAAAAGAGCAAGTAGGCAGGTTCTGGTTATTATGAGAAAATAACAGAACTGTTCAGGGAATTGTCTTTTGTGTTCTTGAAAAGTCATTGGAATAACCCAGCATGATTTGTGATTCGAATGGAAACGCTGATGCTACCAGCCGAGCCTTTGTGTCGTTTCTTCAGATTCTCCCAGTAAGCCTCCCCCTCTGTTTTCCTGTCTTCTTCTTAAACCAAAACCTTCCTCTTCAGTCTTGAGGGACTGTTCAGTCTTGTGCTTGCCTTTGGCACTAAAGCAGGCCCCCCAAGCTGGCTGGGGAGAGCGTGAGGCTCCGTTTCAGGGAGAAGATCTGAGCGAAGCAGCTTCCACATTCAGCTTCTCAGACACTGCACACATCTGCGCTTATCACATGCTGCATGTCTTTAAGCAAACCACCGCCCCTCTCTGGGCTTCTCTTCTCTCATCTGTAAAACGAGAATGATTTTTAAGGTCTTCCCCACCACACACTTGATTTTCCGTGAAGAGAGAATGGATTCAGAGCCCAGCTCTTACATCTGTGTGACCCTGGGTGGGTCCCTTTATCTCTCTGCCTCAATTACTTCATCTGCAGTTAGCAGCCAATATCCATCAAAGGAGCATAGCCAATAAATGTATTTCCTCCAATGTATTAAGGACCCACTGTGTATCAGGCGTTGTCCATCATCACGGTTAGGCATCGGCACTCCAGTTACACCCCTGTTTTTCACTGACAATATCCCAATACAAAAACAGAGAAGTCTCTTCTCTCAGGAAGGGAGCAGCTACTTCTTGACCCTTGTGTAAGATTCTGTCCGTAACAGAGGCCCAGATGAAACACACAAGAGGTGATGCTGCCACATAGGAAAAGGCAAGAAGAGGCATTTCAGGGCTGGTGTAGAGGCGCCACAGCCTTCAGGGGCCACAGTTCTCTGTCTTGCTACTCTGCCATCCTTACATGGCTCACGGTGGCTGCTGGAGCCCTGGCCATCCCGTCCGCATTGCAGCCAGCAGGAAAGAAGAAATAGGGAGAGAACAGAACCACTCCCCCTTTTAAAGAGGCTTCCAAGCAGCACTGAATAACGCTGTGCTTCATCTCATAGGCCAGAGCACATCACCATAGTACACTCACCAGCCAGGGAGGCTGGAGAATATGCCCAGCTGTCACTTGTTCTTATGACTAAGCAGAAGGAGGAGAGTGAATTGTGGAAAGCACCTTCCAGTCTTTCCAGCCGTAGCTGTTTTCGATTTCAGAACTGTTCCTGGGGGAGCCTTCAGAGCAGCCCTCTGGTCACTGTCCCCACTTTACAGCTGAGGCAAGTGGAGGTCAGAGGGATACAGGGCTTGGCCATGATCCCTCAGCTGGTGAGCCCTCCCACTGTAACCTAAAGCTGCGGGCAGAGAACGGGGACTTCGTCTTTCCTGCCCCCACAGGACCCAGACTCTGTAGAGAAGCTTCCTTTTGTTGTTCAGTCACCTAGTCGTGTCTATTTGTGGACCGTGGCACGCCAGGCTTCCCTGTCAATCACCAACTCGTGGAACTTGCTCAAACTCATGTCCATTGAGTCAGTTATGCCATCCAACCGTCTCATCCTCTGCCACCCTGTTCTTCTCCTGCCTTCAATCTTTCCTAGCATCAGAGTCTTCTCCAATGAGTTGGCTCTTCACATCAGGTGGCCAAAGTATTGGAGCTTCAGCATCAGTCCTTCCAATGAATATTCAGGGTTGGTTTTCTTTAGGATGGACTGGTTGGATCTCCCTGCTGTCCAAGGGACTCTCTAGAGTCTTCTCAAGCTTCACTTATCTTTGTGTAATAAATTCTAGAGCAGCCTTGAACCCAGAGGCTCCCCACTCACTCTGGATTGGAGAATCATTGGGGCTTGGAGTTGGGGTGTTGGCGATGGGCTGGAGAATCACTGGGGCTTGGAGTTGGGGTGGTGGCGATGGGCTGGAGAATCACTGGGGCTTGGAGTTGGGGTGGTGGCGGTGGGCTGGCTGGCGGCACAGGGAGAGGCCCGGGGGTCCCAGGGGTCCTGGCTCCGCGGCACTCACTTCCTGCCATCCTGCAGGTCAGTGGCCATTTGGACTACGCCAGGCAGATGGACGCCATCCTGCAGGCCGTGGGCATCCGCACCAAGCCCAGCTGGGACGAGAAGGGGCTCTTGCTGGCCTCAGGCAGCCTGCCCCCAGAGGAATCCCGCCAGGCGGCAGCCACCTCTTCATCAGATCAGACCACCAATCAGGATGGGCAAACCCAGGGTCCCACGTCCAGAGACACCCCCAAAGCAGCCACACCCCCCGACCTCAGCCAGGCCGAAGTGCCAGCAGGACTGGACCGGTCTGAAGGGGCCTCCCTTCCTGCTGCTACCAGCCCTGCTGGGAGCCCCCCTCTCTGCGGCCACAGCCTGGGCGCCAACCCACTGGGCTGCCCTGACTGTGCCAGCGAGACCCAGGGGCCCTGCCCAGGGCTGGTCTGACCCCAGGAGAGTCGCCTTCCCAGACCCCTACATGGAGCACTCTCTTATCCTGCTCCACCAGCTGCCCCGCCACGAGCTCTGGAGATGGACAATCTCCACCACTGCCTTTGCTAAATTGAGGACGTTCGTACCGGAAGGAGAGGGGCTTGTAAGGAGACACTGTCCCCTCCCTGAGGAATGGAGGCCAGAGCTCCGCAGTCAAGCCAGCACAGTACGGAGCCCTGGGGCTGAACCGGCCAGGTGCCTCCTGTGCTTCGGGTCAGCGCTGGGGGTCTGATTGCCCGTCCGGAGCTCTCTGGAGCACCCTGCCATGCTCTCCAGCCTCAAGAGCCTGGTGTCCGCCCGCCCCTCCAGCCACTGTCCAGGGCTGAGCTCCTGCCCACAGGCACCACGGAAGCACCTGCCGAGCAGGTCCGGGGGGGAGCGGACAGCTTACCCTCTCTGCCCCGGGGAGATCCGATGAGATGTGCCGCATGCAGCTATCCAGGCTGAGCCCTGCTCAGCCACGGGAGCGGCCATCAGAAACATGTGACATGAAGGCCCGCCCCCCTGAAGTTATGCCACGTGGGGGCCTGAATATAATGGTTCCAGGGCAGGGCGAACAAACGCTGGATCGGCAGGCGGTGTGGACACAGACTGGGCCTGGGACCCGAAGGAAGTATTTGGGGGCAGAATTTCCTATGGCAGGAACAGAGGTGTGATGATCGTAATAATAGATAATAATACTCACTACCGTTTATTAAGTGTTTACCGTGTGCAGAGTGCTTTACGTGGATTGTCTCAGTTGACCCTCGTAATAACCCAGTGAGGTAGGTACTAGTATTGTCTTCATTTTCACTGTCAGGCCCAGAGCATTTAGGGAAGCTGCCGAGATCACACAGGTGATCAGTCTCAAAAGCCAGCCAGTTAACCTCCAGAGCCCGAGCTCTTAGTCACAGTTAGCGCATCCCTGCAACCTTCCTCCTTGGGCCTCCCACTGGCCCTGAGTGGCCGAGCCAGAGACGCTTCCCCTCCCGCACTGTGCATTCGGAACCGAAGCCCAGCCGAGAAGACTGACAAACCCAGGGGAGGCAGCTGGGACTGGAGAGAAGCGGGGAGTGCCGGAGCGGAACTGGTCCTCAGGGGGGTGTGTATTCGTTCCTTCAGCAAATATTCACAGAACCCCTGCTGCTGTTGGTCCAAACCGCTCAGGTCTCCCGTGGAAGACCGATGCCCCGCAAGAGGAAAGGACATTGCTGAGGCCCCAGAGCAAGCTCGGGCAGAACACAGGGCGCCCACACCCGGAGTCTCCTCCCACCTCACCAGCGGCTTCTCCAGCCCGAGTGGCCCTTCAAGCAGGTTCCGTCCACCCCGCAGTCACTGGCTCAGCTCGGGCTTACTGAGCGCCCACCGGGGCAGGCCTGGGGGTAGAGAGGGAGCCCCGACAAGCACCGTGGCCCTTCTGCAGTCAGTGGCCTGGCCAGAACGGAGTCTGCTCAGCACCTCGGAGGGCGCCAGGCCGCCCGTGGAGGCCCCTGGGGTTGGGGTGGATAGAACTGGTGGGGGGATGGGAGGGAGGCAGGCGATGAGGAAGAAAAACCTCAGCGTGGAAAGGGACCTAAAGCGGTGAACTCTGGGAACCAAGAGCTCCCCGTCAGAAAAAAGAAAAACACAAGTCCTGCGCCAGAGTCCAGCTGCCTCCCCCAGGGCCCCCCCGAACCAGGGATGCTCCCCTACAACTCTGCTGACCCAGCGCCCACGCCCGCTTCCCTCACTGACCCCAGGGCAGGCCAGAAGGCAGCGGGAGAGGGACTGGTTCTGTCCTCATCAGATGGTTCCCTTCTAGGCCCAAGGGAGCCCACGGTAGGGAACACCCATCCTTGATCTTGAGCAAGAACCCAGCAGCTACCCATGTGCCCCCAGGAGGGGCAGGGCAGCAGTCTAGGGAGGAGTTGGGGAGACAGTCAGATCGTGGGCTGTGGGCCGGGGCTGAAGAGGAGGAGGACGGTGGGGGTAAGAAAGTGGGAACAAGTGGCCCTTGCTGGCCCTCTGCCAGGCCAGGGGGTGGATAACAACAGCAGGGACCACCCATTGACCACCTGCCGAGTGCTGGGCATTCTGTGCCCGGAATGCCCGAGGAGGCAGGCATCATTTCCCCATTTGCATGTGGAATGCCAGGCTCAGAGCAGTTAAGTAACTTGTACACGGGCTGGAAAGCGGTGAAGCGGAGGTTCAGACTTTGCCTGCCTGACTCCGAGGCTCAGATGTTTGCTATGCAGCACGTGAATCCTGAGAGCAGCTGGTCTGAAAACTGTCTAGCCAGCCATCGTCAGGGTTAAAGATCCCCTGAGCCAGCACATCTCAAACCATAATGTGCACACGATTCACCTGGCAACCAGCAGGTCTGGGGTAGGGCAGGGACATGCACTTCTAACAGACTCCCGGGACCTGATGCTGATGGTCATGGCCCGCAGAGCAAGGGATCTGGCCCAGCACTGAGCCACCTCTGCAGACAGAGGCATGGCTCCCACGCAGTCTGATAGGATGTGCAAGGGAGATGATTAACAGCATCCTAAGCTGGACCAAGAGGGCCTTACCCCACTCCCAGGAGTCCTCCAACCTCGCTCTCCACACACCCACCAGTTACACTCAGCAGTGACACCTCCTGGAGAAAACTGTCCTGAAGCCAGCGACTAGGCCTCCAGGTTGGAGACCCACAGTGGGCAGTGGGGTGCTGACTCAGTGCAACCCACTGGAGCTCAGAAGGCTCCCCGGAAGACCTGGAGCCTCCTGGTTTTAGCCAAGAGCTGGTCCAAGGCCTTGGGGGTCCTGGTCCCATCCAGTCCAGCTCTCCAAGCCCGCATCAATTCGTGGGGGTCCCAGGTGGACACGGCCGCAGCTCGGGCTCCGTGCGATCGATGCTGAAGAAGTTGACTGCCGTAGTGGCCCTGGCAGGCGGGGGGGCATCCCGGGTGGCCTCGCCAGGTGGCAGCAGCTGGGCCGCGAGCCGCGGGCCAGAGAGGCCCCCAGAGCCCGGGTCCGAGCCCGGGTCCGAGTCTGGCGGCCGGGGAAGGGGCAGCGTGTGCTGCAGGCTCAGGCCAGGCCGCGGGCCGCTGTGAGAGGTCCGCACGGAGGGCGAGGCGAGGCCCGGCTGGTGCTCCCGGGGGCCGCGCGGACACGGCAGGAGCCGGCCCAGGGCCCGCTTGAAGTCCCGCATGAAGAGCGGGTAGATGATGGGGTTCATGGTGCTGTTGCAGTAGCCCAGCCATGTGAGGACGTCAAAGAGCCCAGGGGAGATGCAGTCGCACACGGCCTGGAGGAGTGAGGGGGGGACATCCTGGAGCCGGGACGCAGAGCACCCCTCCCTCCCTCCCCCCCATCTCTGGGGGATTCGGGGGCTCCCCAGCAAGGCGGGGACTCACCCACCCCCAGCGGTGGCATTACCTGGACTATGTTGGCCACAAAGAAAGGCAGCCAGGTCACAAAGAACATGCCCAGCAGGATGCCCAGGGTCAGGCTGGCCTTCAAGGCCTTCCTGCTATGCTTGGCGGCCAGACGCCTGCTGTCAGCTGACTCCACCCCTGGGCGTGGGGTCCTGGGCACCTGCAGAGAGGAAGGCCAGGTCTGAGCCTACTCCTGGCCCCAGACTGAGCCTTAATCCTAATCCTAGACCGAGCCCTTAATACACTGACTTGACCCTTGAATGGGCTCCAGTTGTAGTCCCAGGCTGAGCTCTGACCCCGACTCCAGGCTGCACCTTGACCTTGCCTTCAGGTTGAGCTCTTCAGCAATAAACTAAGCTCTGCTCATGGCCCTGACCCCGATGCCTACCGTACGTAGATTGAGCCCTACATACCCGTAGTCCGAAACTGACCCTCCGCCCTGGGCCAGACTGAGCCCAACTTTAGCCCCAGACTGAGCCTTGATCCCAGAAACAGACCGAGCCTTTGTCCTGGCCCTGCACCAAGCCCTGAGCCTGGCTTGGCGTGCACAAAGGGCTCTAGGAAGGGCGGTGAGGTTTCCTAGGGGCCTGTGATCATGGGTGTTGGCGGTGTCATGTGTTGTCCTTTGCAGGGAGGGGGGGTCTTCTGACCTGCTGGGTTTGTGTCTGGGCACAGTGTTGTCCTGCAGTGCACTTGGGCACCTCAAGAATTAGCTGCAATCGAACAGTACTTGACGAACGAGGACAGCTGCTGTCCAAGGCTTGACAATCTCTTTGCCTATGAATTGATTTTCTTCATATTTTGGAGTGACAGTTTTGCGCCACTGTTTTCATGATCCACAAAATAAAGTTTATTTTGAAACATGTGCCCCAAACAAATGTGTGCAATTAAGTATCTTATAAATCACTAGGGTTGGGAGTGACCTTGATATTTTAAACTTGGATTTCATTGTGGACTTAACAGACATCTTTTATTCCCACACATGGACTTCATGAGCAGGAGCTTGGAGAAGAGGAAAAAGGAGAGGCTCCATGGGGGAAAAGGCATGAGGGGCCCAAATGTGACTTTTATAAACTGGAGACCAGGAGTCCCAAAATATTAAAAGGCCCTCTGTACCGGATGACCCACTAGCCCAGTGGTTCTCTTAACTTTTTCAACTTTGTGAGCCCACTGAAATTCGAATGAAATCTACACAACTCACTCTCCAGAAAACAAAAAGCTTGTAAATGTTTACAAACACACAACACACACACTTACATACACACACAGAAGAAAAAATTTGCCACGTAGCCAGAGAATTCAGAGAACCACTGTGAAGTCCAACCCTGAAACCTCCAGGAATCCACAGAAGCTGCAATGTGAAGCCCTCCTCTAAACCATGTGTTGTAATCAACTTGGATTTTCATATATCCGCTTTACACAAAGTGAAACCCACCTTTGCTGACAGCTGATGTAAACACTGGGGTGAGCATAATTCACTGGACTGTGAAAGGATATGTGTGCTGCCTGGGAATACACCTGGGCTTTAAAGGCCAGAGACTCCCCCGAACACTTCCTAAACTGTGTGAGAGCCCCGCTTAGCTCTTGAGGCAACCAGAGACAGGTTGGGTGCGGGAGGATGAAAGTCAGGAGGAGGCAGGAAGAAAGGAGCCAGGTTCCCAGGCAACCTTCGCAGACGAAAGGGGGCGGAGGCGGCAAAGCCAAGATGCGTGAGCGCGGGGTGCATCACAGCCACCCCCACCCCGCACCCCATGCGGGAACTCCCCCTCGCAGCCTTGTTCTCGCTCCCTCTCCTGAGGCCACCCAGGCCTGGTTCCTGTCCCTGGTGCTGAAACCCCAGCTGCCCCCTGCCCTATGGGCTCTGCAGAGGCGGTGGGCAGGAGAGGGGAGACGGGTACCCTCTGACTCCCGCTTTTCCATGTATTTGTCCAGGTGAAGCCCGGTTAGGCAAATACAAGGCTCACACAGGGGAGCCTAAAAGAGCCCCTTGATTCCTCCCGTGTTCTTGGGGCACAGAGGCGAGAGCTGGGCTTTTAAAACAAGTGATCTGGCTTCAAATCGTGCCTCTATCACTCACTCAGTGATCTTGAGAGAATCAGTTTCCACATTTGTCAAATGGGAGAAAACGCTCAGCTTACGGAGTTGCCATGAGGCTGTGGATAATATACATATGCCCTGTGCTGGACACGGAGTTAATGCAAGCACACAGCAGCCCTGATGTTGTTCAGTGATGAGTGGATGAGGCTGGGGAAGTTTGTAGCACCCTCGGGAGCCTTGTCCTTCCGCCAAGAGCTCAGGCTTTCCAAAGCAGTGCGGATCTCAGGACAAACGCTCTGACTCACTGCGTGGCAGCCGGGGAGAAAAGAGGGTCTGCTCTTCTCGCCCCTTCTCATCTTCTCTTCTCCAGCGTGGACCCTCTGTGGCTTCCGTGGCCCCACCTGGTCAGCCTAGAGGGAGAGACACCTGCTTCCCCAAAAGAATCTCCTAAGAGCTGTTCTGACTTTAAATTGCTGCCGTCAATGGGGACAGACACAAGGGGAGCAGGGAGACACCATCTCCCGCGGGCCCCAGCCACACAGGTAGCCCCTCACCCCTGGGAGCCTGGTGTGGAGGCGAGAGACAGCCATGGTCTTGCCAGGGCTCTCGGGCACTGGGGAACCAAGGCACTCTGGAAGATAAGACGGGCCGTCATCAGAGGAGGGCGACCCAGAGGGGTCAACCATGATCTGAGAGTCCCTCTCCAGTCTTCCTGGGAAGAAACCTGCATTTTCCTGCCTCTTCTTCTCCCCCAAAGAATTAACTCAAGAAAACAGGCAAGAGGGAAGAAATTGAGGCTCAGAGAGAGTAGGGGACCTTCCCAAGGTCACACTGTGCTCAAACCAAAGCACCACAGACCCCTACATTGTTACCCTCACTTACTGAGTGCTTACAATGCATCTGCACCTGATACGCATTCTGTCATTCGGTCTTTCTGGGAGGAAGGTAAACCTTCATCTTGCAAATGAGGCGCAGAGAGACAAAATAACTAGCCAGGAGTCACACAGCAGACAAGAGCTGAGTCAGGGAACTCTCTAACAAGAGTTAAAGTCACCTCCGGCTCCAGACGCTGAGCCCCCTCCACTTTACCATGCTGCTTCCATTGTGGGGGATGACAGCCCCAGGCGAAACCCCACCACTCCCACGGAGAGGCCCTCATGGAACACAAGCCAAGGGCCGCCTCCAGCCCACACGCTGGGGTCTGGGTGATGCCACCCTTCCCACTTCTCTCCGCCCTAAAGCCACCCCATGATCGCTCGTGGCAGGTTCCGTCGTCTGCAGGCCCCTTGTATCAGAACACGTCTGTGGCATTTGCCACCATCAGAGGGCAGCCATCGGCGGACAATTTGGCAGCGCCCTTCCAGGAGGGAAGTCTGCTTGCGGGTTCCGATGTCACAAGTGCATCAGAGGAGAGTGGTTAAATAAACCCTGGCTTAGAATACTATAGTGAGAGTCACTCAGTCGTCTCTGACTCTGCGACCCCATGGACTGTACACAGTCCATGGAATTCTCCAGGCCAGAACACTGGAGTGGGTAGCCCTTCCCTTCTCCAGGGGATCTTCCCAACCCAGTGATGGAACCCAGGTCTCCCACATCGCAGGCGGATTCTTTACCAGCTGAGCCACCAGGGAAGCCCCAGAATATTATACAGATGTTTAAAAGGATAAATACATTCCCACTGTAAAATACTATACGGATGCTTAAAAGGATAAACACATTCCCACTGTAAAATAACTATACGGATGCTTAAAAGGATAAATACATTCCCACTGTAAAATACTATATGGATGCTTAAAAGGATAAACACATTCCCACTGTAAAATACTATACGGATGTTTAAAAGGATAAATACATTCCCACTGTAAAATACTATACAGATGTTTAAAAGGATAAATACATTCCCACTCTAAAATACTATACAGATGCTTAAAAGAATGAATCAGTCACACACAGAAAGATCTCCACGACACATGAGCAAGTGCTAACAACAAGTTGCAAAACAAGAGAGACAGCATGAAGGAAAAAGAGAGAGAGAGAGAGAGAGAGAGCATGATCACCTCTGCTTAAAAAAGACACAAAGCGAGGCACTAAGTTTCTTTAGGCAAAAAAATCCACAAACATAAACAAACACACAACATAAACACACAAACATAAACAAATACACAACATAAACACACAAACATAAACACATCCACAAGCACAGAGAAAGAACTGGAGAGACGTGGAGGGGCAGGACTGGGAGGTGGCTGGATGAGGCCAGTGGGGTCTTTTACTTGACCGCTACTGATGAGTTTTCATTTTGAGGTGTACTGACAGATCCTCTCGTGTAATCTCCAATTCGTATGACTATCTAACCACGCGTGTGCTCAGTCACCCTGTTTGTGTCCAGCTCTTTGAGACCCCACAGAGTGTAGCCCACCAGGCTCCTCTGTCCATGGGATTTTCCAGGCAAGAATACTGGAGCAGATTGCCATTTCCTACTCCAGGGGATCTTCCTGACCCAGAGTTCCAACCCACATCTCTTGCACCTCCTGCATCGGCAAGCGGAATCTTTATCACTGCGCCCCTGGGAAGCCCAGCCATCTAATCATAGTGTGAGGGTGATAAGACAGACCTTGGGGCCAGACTGCCCGGTTCAAACCATGACTGTTACTAAATGAGCAGCCCTGAGCAGGGTACTTCACCTCTCCGGGCCTCAGCTTTCTCATCTGTAAAATGGTCATTCTCATGACAGCCACCTTGCAAGATTGTAGTAAGGATTAGAAAAGATAATAGAAAGTTACTTGAACAGTGCCTGGTACATTGTAAGTACTGTGTGAGTTACTTACTAAGTTAGTGATCATGGTCGGTGTTTATTGTTATTTGTATTCACCTCAGCTCTTTGATAATGGTGATGAGGCTTCTGATGGCAGCCATGGTTATTTTTCCCCCTAGGAAGACTCAAAGTGGTGAACTTCCCAGCACCATGCATTTTACCATCAAGAGGAAAGGACAGAGTTAATATTTGTCAAACAACAAGCAACTACTATGCACCAGGTATATATATATCATCTCACTGATGCTTCAAACAGCCTCAGATGATAAACAGCATTACTTCTGGGATAGAGGGAGATGAGCAACTCA